AGAAGTGACCATTCCCTGGAGAAGGATGTCATGCTTGGTAGGGTGGAGGGTCGACGAAAGAGGGGGAGGCCTTCAAAGCGATGGATTGACATGGTGGCTGCGATGATGAGCTCAAGTATAGCAGGGATCATGGAGCTGGCACGGTATTGGGCAGTGTTTCGTTCTGCTGTGCATGGGGTTGCTATGAGTCGGAAAAGACTCGATTCACCTAACAACAACAACAACAAGCCAAAAAGAGAAAAAAAATTGTGTAGTTACAGAACTTCTAGATGGTAGGGAAGTCAAGACAACTAACTAACTACAAGATACAAGAACAGACTGTTCTAAACTTGGGAAGAAAACTATAAATCACTGGGTAACCTAAATGATAAATGATAAACTTTCACATCAAAATAAAAAAGAGGAACAGCACAAATATTTAGCAAATATTAAACAATAGCAATGAAGGACATGATAACATGATCCATAAACAAAATGAGCTCAGCACAGAAAATTATATGGAACAAAGAAATCAACACCACGAAAAAGCACATAACAAAAATGACAGCAACAAACTCATACTTGTCTATAATTACATATCTGGCAAGGGACTTATCTCTAAGATTTATAGAAAACTCCAGTGCATCAACAGCAAAGGAATTAACAATCCAATAGAAAAATGGGCAAAAGACATGAATAAACACTTCACCAAGGAGGATATTTAGGTGGCCAGCTAATATATGAAGAGATGCTCACAATCATTGGCTGTCAGAGACATGTAAATCCAAACAATGATGTCTCACCACAGCACTGATGGCAAGGATCAATAAGACAGAAAGTAACAAATGCTGGCAGGGATGTGGAGAGATTGGGACTCTGATAACACTGCTGGTGGGACTGTGAAGTTATACAACCACTGGGAAAAGTAATATGGCGATTCCTTAGAAAGCTGGAATTGGAGATACCATTTGACCCAGCAATCCCATGTCTAGGTATATATCCTACATAGGTGAGAGACAGCATAAGAACAGATATTTGCACACCCATGTTCATTGCAGCACTATTTACAATAGCAAAAAGATGGAAACAACCTACATGCCCATCAATGGAAGAGTGGATGACCAAACTATGGTACATACATACAATGGAATGCTATGTATGCAACACTAAAGAATAATGTAGAGTCTGCAAAACACTGTATAACATGGATAAACTTTGAGGACATTATGCTGAGTGAAATAAGTCAATCACAAAAGGACAAATATTGTATTAGTCTGTTATTGTAAAAGTTAAGGAAAGGTTTATCTATTGAAGGAAATTTTCTTTGTTGGTTACCAGGGGTCGGAGGGGTGGGGAGGGAACACTGCAAAAAAAAAAAAAATGCATTGACCCATGTCACTTCAGTTTTGTGCATTTCGCTGCACATAAATTATATTTCAATAAAATACACTTTAAAAAAACCCTCGTAATTAAGTCTGAAGAAGGAATGAGCCTACCTGGACCACCTTCTGACATTAATTTGGGAGTTGGAAAATTCTGGACTTGGGTTACTGTTTTTTGTTGGTTTGGGGAAGGGGATCTCTATGCTGTTCTCCACTACCAGCGTCCCTAACTAACTTGCCTTCCTCTTTCCACCTTTCAGAGGCCTCTTTACTTATTTCATGTTATTTTCAGAGTTTAGAGTTATACTTATGGGAGGCTCAAGGAGAAAGAAGTCTAGGTCATCTTATCTGGAGTGCACTTTTCTGTGCACTTTTGATAGGGCACACTAGATTAATTTAGGTTAACTCTGGATATTCTCCCCTTTTTAAAGTCAACTGTGTCATATAAAATAACCAAATCACAGCAATAATATTCCAGCATATTCAAAGGTCTCTCCCATGTGGAAAAGATGGGGATTGTATAAGATTACGGGTACTTGGGGATCATATTAGAATTCTGTCTACCTAGGAGGCGTGTATGAGTGTACTAACAGTTACCATCCTGTTCAAGGTAGAAACCTGTTGAGATATCAAAAGAGTACCTTCCACAATAATTTTACTCTCTTCCAATGAAGTAGGTCTGCTATCAGAAATATTTAATACAATTTAAAATATTGAGAAGACTTTGAGAATTTAATGTGAATTTCTGAGGTTTGATCTATTCAAATCTTAATTTCTCACCAAGGGAATATCTTGTGTGTGAAAACTACACAAATTCAAAGGTGATGTGTAATAACTGTGGCTGTTACCAGATCACATGGAAAATGAAGGTCAGTGGTGATTCTGATTTTAAAATCTAAGAGCGGGTTTATATTTAACATTGACCACATGAATATGGGTCACATATTGCACAAAATATATGACTATTCCTTTAGGAGCTCTGGTAGCATAGTGCCTAAGGCACTTGACTGCTAACCAGAAGGCTGGTGGTTCAAACCCACCAGCCACTCCTCGGAAGGAAGGTTGGGCATTCCTACTTCCGTAGTGATACTGCCTCGGAAACCCAAGGAGGGGTCGCTATGAGTCGGGGCCGACTCGATAGCAAATAACAACAACAACAACAACAACATTCCTTTAGATTTCAATACAATATCCTCTCACCTAAAGGAAGATGAATAATTTTAAGCAAAATTTACTGCATTGGCCAATACAGGAAAAGAAAAAAAAAAAGTGAAGTTCTCAGGCGGAATTAGAATCTGAAGGAAAAGCCTTCACTATGCTTGGAAAGACGCATAACCTGAAATTTAGTTTAAAATCACAGTGGTCTTAGGGTGATATTTTTACTGAGAAAATTAGAATGGAATTAGCCAAGCATGATTTAGAACTCAGGTTTTACCTCAAAGACATTCAGATTACAAGTTGGGAGGCCCCCAAACACCAATTAGGTACTTTTGATAATGTGCACAATGATGAAGCGTCATATATAAGTCATAAATCCCTTCATAGTAAATAAGGATCTGTTTAGGAACAGCGGAATGAAACAAAGTGAACTGTAAGAGGAACTGAAACATGAATATACCCTTGTAGCCAAAATTAAAGAAAGAGCTATACTGCCTTTTGTCCTAAGTTTTATTTTGAGTCACAGCAAACCTAAGTGGGGCAAGTTTAAGACACAGTTAATAAAGTCTAAACCTTTGCCATCTTCTCCTCACTTCTAATGATGCAATGTGTTTGTTCTCCCCTTTATCATACTAGATCAGAATAATCAGAGAAAAGGAAAATTAAAAGAGAGGGGTTGTTAAAGAGCTGAGTTGAAAAAAAGAAAATGGAGGGCAGGAACTTGGAGAGGCTAAAAAGCCTGCCTGGGCTGGCTTTGAAGAGCCTTGGGAATGCTGATTGTGCTAGATGGTCTCTGTTTTCCTCTCTACACCCACTCCCTCATCCTTCTCCACACGAAGCTGTGATCCCTAGAGTCTGACCTTTATGGGCTTCATCAACCCATCTCCCTTGCCCTGTGTCTTCATGTTGGGTTTGGCTAATGGGAACTATTAACAGGAGATCAGTGGGCAGGAGGAAAGGAAGGGTACTTATTTCCCGGGCTCCACCCACCCCCTAGAAGGTTTAGTTTGGGGGTGACTACATTTGCCTCACCTTAAGGCCACAGGTCCTGTTGGGTGGCCTTCTGTTGCACATACAGGATGTGCTGGGTTTCAGGAACCACTATCTCTCTTTGATCCATCAAGCCTGGTGATAGAATATGGTTTTTTACAATTTCCAGCTGCAGGGAACTTCATCTCTTGGTTTCCCTTCATTCTTTACATACTTAAGTAAGTGATACCTTCATTAAATTCATTCACTCACCCCTTTCAAGTGTGCCACCTATTTTCAGACAGGATCCTGACTGATACTTGGGTAGTAGGGAATGGGAGAAACTTTAAGGCAGCTGTAGGGAGTGGGGTAAACTGATGGTGAAGAGATTGGAAGAGAAGAATCTTAAGGCTTTTTACAGCATTCTGTGAATGTAATCCACCAGCCACTCTGTGGAAGGAAGATGGGGCAATCAACTTCTGTAAATCTGGTAAAGATTTACCACCTCAGAAACCCAAAGGGGGTCGCTATAAGTCGGAAAACGACTCAATGGCACTGGGTTTGGTTTGGTATGGTATGACTAAGACACCTTTTTGTTTATCATAATGACTCTAATAAATTATTAAATTGTTTCTTAATTTTGTTGCCTGGGTTGGTGTTTTTCTGCATGCATATGCAACATAGGACAGGACCATGAAGTGTTTTGGATTTATACAATTAGATAAGACTATTCAAATCTATCTGATGGTGAAGTGGTTGAAGCACTTGGTTGCTACCAGAAAAGTTGGGGTTTGATCTGGCAAACCACTCCAGAGGAGAAAGATGTGGCACTCTGCTTCAGGGGAGATCACAGCCTTGCAAAACCAATGGGAGTTTTACTCTGTCCTGCAGGGTTGCTGTTAGTTGGAAGCGACTGGACAGGAAGAGGGGCTTTATTTTTTGTTTTGTTTTCCCTTCAATTCAAATCCAACTAGAACTGACTATCATACTAAGACTTTCTCTCAGGGAATTAGGAATAGCCCAACATAGTGTACCTGCTAAGTTTCGAAGAAATTCAGTGACTCGCCAGGTATGGAATGAATTTGTACTGTCAGGTTAAGGACATTTTAAATAGTTCATTTTATTCTGGGACAGAAATGGGGAAATACCAATACTTCCTTCATTAATCAATGACTTCATTTAAGTTGTTACTTTAATTTAAGCATCATTCAAAAGCTGGACAAAAAGCATGTGATTCCCATTTGTCTGTCATAATACCAGTCTATAAAGCTGAGAGTTCAGATGTTAAAATTTTATCAGTCTCCAGAATCAGTGACAGTCTTGCGACAAATGGGACAGGTAGGATGTTTGGTCAGCCAACGATCAACACACTGGACATGAAACTCGTGGGAGCAAGGTAGTATGCGAAGCTTGTTGCCTTCTGTGTATTCTGTGATACAGACTCTGCAAGAATTTAATTCATCACACTTAGCAAAACTTCTCATTTCCAAACTGTCAAGCTGCACTTGGGTGAGTCCTGCAGGTTGATCCTGATTATCTTCATCTTGGTGGAAAAAGTGAGCCAGGTTAAGAAAGGCCCAGGAGTCACCTTCATCAAAGAAAAATAGTGCCCTATGTTGATGCTCTTGCCTGGCCTCTGACGATGACCCTGGTGATGCAGTTCCTTCATTACTGCTTTCAAACAACTCTGAGCTAATTTCTGAAACTTCATCACTGGTGCTGGATCTAGACATTGAACTAGAACTAGAACTAGAAATATGACTAGAACTTGAGCTGGTAATTGATGTAATGATTGGACTGTATTCAGTGCTAGGGCTTGAACTGGAACTAGAACAGCTGGTGCAATCAGAACTGCTTGTGCTTCCATTCTGTGACTCTACACGTTCCCTGTTTTGAATTGGAGCTGAGCCATTAGGCTCTAAATTGCTATGATTATGTATAAGGTAGTTTGGCTCATCAAACCTTGTGACTGTCTGCCTCGATGTGCCTTGAATTGTAACAGATGCAGTATCACTTAAGCCAATATTTGAAGTCATAGCAATGGAAATTCTGATGGTACTCACACCAGGCTGGTCAGAACGTGAAAATGCATGCATATAACCTCCTTGTCCACCTTCATAACTGCTGGTGTTACTTGGTGTCTTAGATGTTAAGGGAGTTCTACTAGCTGTGCTGTCTCTCTGCAACTAGTCTTCATGCTAAACTACTGTTACTTTAAGATCTAAGAGTCTGGTTGGATTTTTCTGTCTTGATATCCAAGACTCCTCATTGCTGGTTGTGTATGGATATCTTTCTCCTTGAGAGGCACCCCTTGTTCCAGAAGTTGTAAAAAGACCCCTACTCTGGAACTCAGTTCCAAGTATTGGCTCTCTCAGTGTTTCATTACACTGAGTTCTAGAAAAAATCTCAGTATCATTAACTAGAGGATGCTGCAAAGTGTGAGGTGGGCTAACAGGATTGGATCGTTGTGAAACTTCACCCACTGGATTCAGAGGCGATCTACTTTCAACTTCTACTCTGGTTGCCTGGTGCTCCAGGTTCCTGCTTCTCGGTCTTCTCTGGTCTCTATGTGGGATTTCTCCTGTTACGATTACACTTAGTTCTGTTCCAGATCCCTGTGAAGATGTTGATTCAGATAACGGATTTCCCTTTTGCCTTGGGCTGTAATTTTCCATAGTCTCTCCCCTGGAATATCTTGCAGATGGTGTGCATTCATTCACCAGACATGGGCTCCCATCTCGGCTAAAACTGCTTCCTAAACTGCATCTGAAATCACCACTGTTTGGGTCAGTGGGGCTCACCACTCTCCAAGACTGGTTTCCTCTTGACCCACTTCTTATCATATTTTCAGTTTCTCCAGGGGAGTGACTTTCAGACACTTCATTTGAAAAATCCTCTCTGGCTTTTAACAAAAAATGGGGGAGGGGAAAGGAAATACTAAAATTAGACAATCATTAAATAGTGTTCTGATACTTTATTGGAAAAACAAACAACATTGAGAACTTAAAAAGTCAAATGTTAAAAACAGATTTTCCATTTATATTTAGTTGTTTTGTAAATTACACTGCTTAGAGTTACAAGTAAAGGCAGTACGTTTCAATTTGATGCTTGAATAGTAAACTAATTCTGGAGTAATTTTTTAAAAATAAAATCTGGAAGAAGTCTATTTTCAATATCAAAAGGAGTATGAAAAGACAACATTATTTTTAGTTCACTATCAAAACACTAATGCAGTTAACAAAGTAAGCACCAGGTAAGTTGCAGTGCCAGTGGTTCAGTTCAATTTACCATTTTGTCAAATTCTCATTAGTCTATGTTCTTCTAGTCTCTAAAGTGCCTTTGATAACACATACCCACATACTCAAAACCCAAACCTACTGCCATCGAGTGGATTCCAACTCATGGAATCCTATAGGACAGAGTAGAACTGCCCCATAGGGTTTCCAAGGCTGTAAATCTTTATGGTAGCATATTGACACATCTTTCTCCTGCAGAGTGACTGGCAATTTCAAACTGTAGACTTTTTTATCAGCCTAGATATTTAACTCTTGTGCCATAAGGACCCCTGATAATACGTTAGTTGTAATGAAATGCAAGCCTATTGTAGCTATTGGCAAAATATAAGCAAGGTTTATAGGTTGGAATGTATTTGAATACTTCTTATTGAATTGAATTCACATGCAATTGAAGGCCAGACCAGCTGAACACACTGAATCTAGCACTATACATACAGACATGCTTCAAAAGGACACTGTTATAGAAGCCACTTAGTTATAAAGTAAAACACTCAAACTCACACTGGGAGGGAAACACTGGCCTGAAGTTAGAGCAGGGGTTCTCAGCCTCAGCACTACTGACATTTGAGATGGAGAGGTCTTTGTTGTAGGGGCTGTTCTGTGCATTCTAGCAGGTTTAGCAGCAATTCTGATCTCTTCCCACTAGATGGCAGTAGCAGCAGGGCCCTTCAGGGTCTGCAGACATTACCAGATGCCCCAAGAAACCACAAGAATAAATGGAACTAGAATGCTTTAGATGCTTACTCAATATGACTCCTAAATGTTAACAGTCTGTTCCTATCACATCTGGCAAATTGACAGAAACAATGAAAGCCTTCGATACTCTCCATTTATGTAATGGGAGCTGGGAGGCCTTGTTGTGATAACCAGCATGTCTGCTGACATTGCCAAATGCTCCCTGGGGAGGGGGAAGCAAAGTCATTGCCAGCGGAGAACCGCTTAGAGTATGCAATGTTTCTTTTCCTTGGTGAGGAATTCACATGTCTACACAGAAGCAAACATCCAGGAAGTAGGAGAAACT